TTGCCACTTAATCCATATAATCACGGGAGTTACTCTCTTTGATGGTGGAGGTGAACTGATTGCCAGTTACCGTCCTTTCCGCTTCTCCGTCTCCTGTGATTCTCCGCTGCCTCTCTCCCTTCCCGTCGCAGCCAGCCATATATCCGCAGTCCTCCGTCAGTCTAGATTTTCGTCTGTCTTCCGCAACCGCTCTCGAGAGAAACCACATCTCAGCAGCCCTCTGGCTTCCTCTGCGCGCACAGAGTAGCGGGAGAGCAGGTGCCTCCGGAACCCTCGCCCGCCTGAGAATCTTGCACGGGGTGTGCGGCGATTAGGTTTTTGGGGAGCGATCCGTGACTGCTCGTCCACATATGCCTTCTTTCTGGTGGTGATCGCTCTCGGAACCCGTCTTCTTCCCAGTGATTGCTGCGGAACAGCAAGGCGTTTTCTTCCTGGTGATCTGTTCGTGGGACTGCACTGCGAACATCGTCCTGCACCGACTGTGGTCCGCGACTTCGAGCAACGCACTATGTCGACTAGTGCGAATGGAGCCTCCGATGCCCTCGGCATGGGACCCTCCGCTGGGTACAATCTAATCTCTGCGATTACTGTACTATATTCATCTGTATATCATCTTTGCATGCTGTAGCGTTCGTTAGAGATATACACATGCACATATATGCCGTCACGAACCTGTTGATGTTATATTTCTGGATTAAATTGATAATGAAAATGCCTAAATATCTAACAGTATTTATCCATTAATATTGTAGATAGATATATAAAGTAAAGTGTTTGTACTTATCAAATATTATCGGAAACGCATTAAAAATGATCCATCTACAACTCGTATCTCCATCATTCTGGATTCTAATATGTTTTATTGGTCAATAAATCTTATATGTACAGAGCATAGCTAAATACTCCATCCATTCCAAATTATAAAACATTTTGACTTTTTAGATGTATTATTTTTGCTATGTATCTGGACATAATGTACATCTAAATGCGACGTAAAAGTAATATATGGAGGAAAAAGAAAAATATTTTATAATTTAGAATGTAGGGAATAGAAAAAAATACTTTAGATGAAGCAAAGTACATAGTACATAAAAAGACACCAAAATCTTCATTCATTGAATCAGGAGTGTTGTTAGCAACACCCACAAACACACTCAACAAACTGCGGAAAGTCGACTTGACGACCTTCGGTTTATTCCACACTGTCCTGTGAGCCGAGAAACGTAGCACTCGTCGCCTATACGGCGTTACGGCTTCCAACGGCAGAAGCCACTCAAAACGGTAACATGATCGCGAGGTTCGATCGGACATCAGACAATCAGAGGATCCAATAATGCAGGGGCGCATGCAGCGGCTGGGATCAGTGATGATGCTGAGGGTCCGGACCTCCAGGGCTCAGCCTCTTGGACGCAGCAGCTACGCTCCCGTCTTCCCCAGCCTCGCCGTCACCTGGCACTGGCACCGGCACCTGCAGCGCCGCCGCCGTCGTCATTTCCTCATGAGCCTGCAGGCGGCCCATCGCCAAGGGCGGCACGGCCACGGCCGTGTCTACCCCGGTTCTTCCCAGCAGCCGTGCCGCGTCGGCGCCGTATGGACACAACGACCACCAGCAAGGCAGCAACAGTGCGCTCATGAGGACGACGCTGGTGAGGCACCTCGCCATTAGATCGGTGCTGGGAGCTGGCAAGGTTCAAGAAACTTGTTGCTTGGGCTTAGTGAAACTGAAGCTATTAAACCGTGTGCTTGTGCACGAGCGTGTGTGGTGGTGGTGCGAGAAATGCAGAGCTTGAGCGGCATTTTATAGGCGCCAACTGCCAAGCGCCATGGCCGCCGGGCCGTCGTTAACCGTTGCAAAAGCTATAGATCAACATGAGTTCAAGTTGTTCTTTGTTGTTATACACATGCCGCGTCATCGTCGACGTCTCACACGGTCTCAGTGGTGCTCCAGCAGGATCGAGTCTGCGTATGATGCACAGACTTGATGCTAGATTGGCCGCATCATCAAAGGGATACCGTTTTGTGTGCTGTATGCGGTATGCCCATATGGTCATATGGAGTAGGAGTTCATGTTGCACTTTGCTGCAAATAAAGTAAGCTCATCCTCTGATCAAATGAACTCAAGTAAAGCCTTCCCAAGTTGGATTTCGTAGATGTGGGGTCTCGATGACGCCCGATACGGTTGTTCGTTCGATCACGACGAATCTTCGTAACCGAGCTGCTTTGAGCAGCGTTAGTGCAATCTTCCGTGGTACGACCAAGCAGGGCAGGGAGTTACATACGGACAGGACCAACTCAGGGCTTCTCACTTATGGCCAGTGGTACATGCACTTAGTACACCGCAACTGGATGCTTTCGTTGTCATGTCAATTTTTCCTTTTAGATAGATCACGATGAGTTCTCACATCAGCTAGCTATGTGCCCACACAATAATTGCGTGGCCAGTCTGCGGTTCTACCCACTCGTTTTACTCGTAAATCAATGTCTGCATCAACGTGTGAGATCATGTGATGAAAATTGGGTTGAGATGGAAATCGACACTGCAAGATGATTGAAATTTTCAGTACAGGTAATACATACATGTTGCTTATATATGCTTGCGATAGCATAATGATTGGATGCACTCGTGGCAGACTGGCAGTGTAGCGGCTTTGATGTTGTTGCATGAAACGCTCGTGTGAGGTGTTGTGCGAATCGACTTGAGCCAAGTCATGGACTCAGTGCTCGGATGTGTTTTTCATGTTTGTTTCATGTGCAGGTGTCACTTGAGGCGGAACGTGGTCGATGACTGACTGGAACTAAGTGTTAGATGTGTTAGACCATCTAGATCACTGACTCGAACTAGGTGCGTCCTTCCACCGCCACCTCCGCAGTCCACAGGTCCTGCGAGTCCGGATCCGAACGCCCCTAGCCTCTCTCCGCGTCAGTGCAGCCTCCTCCCTCTCATGTTCGCGTCGGCGCCGCCTCCTCCCTGTCCGACCCGGATCCGGCAGCACCAAGCCGAGCCACTGCCTCCTCCCTCCCCTCTCCTCTCCACGCCGGCGCCGCCTCTTCCCCCTCTGGCTCCCGGTGCCCGACCTCGCCCGACATATAGCCGTGCCCCCACCGCCAACACGATGCCCCGCCACCCTTACGGAGAGGAGGGCTAGCACGACTTTAGCGGTGCTGGGCAGCATAGTGCGGGTGGTGGCGCACTCCTGACACCGCCTTGCCAGCATGTCCGGCCGTGCGATGGCCGCGGCACGAGTGGGACAGCATGAGTGCCACAGTAGAGAGGATGATATATGGGTCCTACATGTCATTCTTTACCGGAACGAATTTGAGAGACCGGGTTTAGGTAGTGTTGCTAGAGATAACATAAAAAAAATAGATATTATTAGAATGGGTGCCTACCTAGGCAAATAGAGGGCCTATTTTGAATAGCATTGCTGAAGAAGCTCTTGGGGAAAAGTGTGTGTGTGTGTGGTGAGGGGGGGGGTTGCGCTAAGGATAACGGAGCTTCACATGGAGGGAATGCAAGGCGGTCACAAGCGAAAACGAACGTGGTTCACAAATGGTAATACCACTGCGTTAGAGTGGCATGAGACCAACAGCTCACCGGTGTTAGAGATGGTTCCATACCTTTTTTTCCCAGAAGGTTTGAGGTGTCCATGAATGTTGGCACAGGCCAGCTAGCAGCTACTTAAGGCAGAAATGGCTTCACAACACATGAGCGGCATCGTGATGAATTTGGTGATGTTTGATGGCAAAAAAGAGCCAACTGAATCCATAAGAGAAGGTATAGGATCATAAAAAAAATTAAATTTACAAAATAGCCGAGGAATGGAACATTTGAAAAACTTGGACGGTGGTTTTATCGAGGAATGGAGCTTATACGGTGAAAATTGAAAGCAACATTTATTTAGCCTCGTCAGGATCTCTGAATGAACTAAGAAATTGATTGATGATAGCTATACGGATTTCATGTAGCTCATCATGGGGAGAGGACAACTACAGTCAATAAATAAACAAAAAATATTTGCAAAGGTTATTTTCAAGTAAAAAGACCCAAATGTTAGCATGAAAAAAAAAAGTTACCCATGCTATTTGTATGATTCATGCAAATTGCGTGGGTAAAATGTGTGTACTTTTTAGATATGTCGTTCGTTTAAAATGTGTATGTACTTTTGATTCTTGTGATTTATGTATACTCAAATACGTTGTTGCATATGTGATCTATTTTTATACCATTATATTGTTATGTTGTGTCTGCCCCACCTATAACTTTGAGCGTGGTCCGCCACTGTGTATGATGTCTATGTTGTGCAGCTGAAAGCTCAAACACACCAAGAGAACGAATGACAAAAGAAGCGCAGACCTTCATGGGAAGAAGGTTGTGAGCCACTACATGCTGATCAATCCAGACTGGAAAGCAAATAAACCATAATTTACCATGCATTAGCCCATTTTTCTATACTACTAGGTACAGTTATACTGGGTTTCTGGTGCACTGAACAGAAAAGTGTATGCACGGAAGTAAACTGAACTACAAATCTGACCTCACTATTCTGGGTTTCTGGTAGTGCTACTAAAAATACATCAGTGTCTCGAAAACAAATTGGATTGACTCTTCTAAGTACACAGAGATTCACACTGCTCGCTGGAAGAAACTCAAAAACTGGCTGACAAAACATAAGAGTGACACCAGAGGAATAGATAAATAGAGCCAAATGCAGGGAAAATACTAGTTTCTCCTTATCCAGGTGAGACTGAGTTACCAAAGGAGCTTATTACTCATCAAATGAATGATAATGTACAGCATACAAGGATAAACATAATGTTTACAAGGATACCTCACCACGTTGATGAATTCAGTAATGATCTATTGGCCCACGCATGAGCATACAAATTAAACCTTACAACAGGCTTCTGCCCTGAAAGGAATGCTACAGATGCTTAGGGAGTAGTTCAAAGAACACCTCAGAAATCAAAGACACGGATACTCTTGGTCATACATCTCACCTTTAGTCATGGACATGACTGCCATAATCTTGGTTGAACTTTTCGTATCTATGTGCATGAAGATGAGCAGACGGTCTTGTATTCCTCAAAGCAAGTTCAATATCTTCTGTAGTTACTGGACTAACTTCAGGCAACTCTGCAACATGTCCCACAGAAAAAGCTCTAAAGACTAACCGACTCCAAATAGAAAGAGTAGCACTTTTTAATTAACATGCATTGAAAGGTACTATCATAGCACAAATTTGGTTTTTGTATCTGTGACATTACTTATTTTCTATTCTGCAAGCACTGCAACCCATACATACAAGTAAGATTTTCCAAGAAATTGAAGAGAAGTTGACAACAAAGAGCAATAAAGTAGCAAGTAGTCATTTGTTCCTGTTCACAAGAACAGAATTGCTGAAAAGAAGAGACTAGTAATTATGAACAAGTCACATACCATCCTCAGGGACCTCTTCTTGCCTGCGTTCAAGAACTTACATTAACCGTCTTAGGGGCTGCATTGCTGCTTCCTTGCATACAAGGCGAATATCAGAGCCAGAATATCCTTCAGTTTTTTCTACAAGAACATCATAGGGAATCTCCATTGTGCCAGGTGTAGATGGCAGGAGCTCTTCAAACATAGCGTGTCTAGCATCTGGCTCTGGCAATGGAACAAGAATCTGATTGACAAGTTATGGGAAAAAAAGTTCCTTCAGATTTGTCATGAGACTTGAGCTTTCGATTAAAAAAACAGAGATGTTCTCTTTTCTAAAAAAAATGTGACAAGCTTTTTTTTTAAAAAAAATCCCCTTGGGGAAAGACCTCCCTGAGGCACTGCATTAAGGAGAAACCTCAACCACAGGGTCGAGAAAAGGCCCCGAAGGCTGGCTGCCCAGGACACAATCACATATATCTCTGGAAGCAGTTACACAGCGAAGGGCCCTTTTTTGTGACACCTTGGGTTCTTAGCCCTGGTTGGCTGGCACCACAACTGGGTGCCCAACCACCACACTAATGCATTCTCATGCAACTTGAGCTTTGACATAAGCATTCTGGAGGCTGCTGAGTGCTATAAATTTTCTAGATATTGACCAAACATTATTTCGAATGGTGCCAAAAGAATCACTTGTGCCGGAAGTTGTAAAGATAACTGAATAATTGGAAAGGAGTAAAGATCAGACCGCTGATTTTAGATTACAAAATGATAAAGAGGTCACTGTACAATTATGCCAATGGTTTGTATACTGAAAGCTCGCGATGGTCTGCCATGAAGGGTTGTCAGACAAGGCAAGATTTCTAAAACAGAAAAGAAAACGAGGCTTGCTACCGCACCTGACTCTTGCAGTTCACTACCAAATAAGAAATCAAATAGCAATCACACATTCAGAAAATTATAGAAAAATGTGGTAATATGTATGAAATTTGTAAATCAACTATTTGAAACACAAGATTATTTAGAAAAGGATACACGCTTCTCCAGCCGACGCAGCATTGCTGCATCCAACTCCCATGGTAAATTTGTTGCTGCTAGAACAAAAACAAGCTCATCTGTCTTAATCAACCCAACCATCTGCACCAACAAAATCAAAATGTTATGAAATAACCAATACCGTAGAGACAATAGCCTGTTCCCAAAACTGAAGACTAGTTTGTGATCAGTTCAAAGAAGTTAAGAAAGCCAAGGATATTCTGCATGTCAAGTTTGGAAAGCTTGAGATGCTTGCTGATCCCCGTGTAGTTAGGTATAATGTCCTTATTTCCCAGATTTTGTAGTTTCCAAAAAGTTATGCTTGCAACCAATTTGTGGTTGAGAAGCTCAAAGTTCTCAATGGAAGATAACTGATTATACTTTAGGCTTTGTACAACCCAAGAAAGATACCTGTATTAATAGCTCAGTTTTCAATCGCCGGCTAGCTTCATGTTCACTACGAGCTTCACCACGTTGACTACTGATAGCATCAATCTCATCAAGGAAAAAATGGTAGATGGTGCATGATGCCTTGCAAGCTCGAATAACACTTTCACTAGTTTCTCCGAGTCACCTACATCACTCGGACTATTAGAATAAGCAAAACTTTTCTGGGAGTGAGGTCAGGAATGAACACTGTGTGCAATAAAGTTCAATTATATATTTTGTTGTACAAGTTAGTTGTGCTGCAGCTGCGGCTACGTGTATTCGAGGCTACAAGTTTGCTCTAGATGCAAAAGTTCAATTATATATTTTGTTGTACAAGTTAGTTGTGCTGCAGCTGCGGCTGCGGCTGCGGCTGCAGCTTGTAAAATGATGAATACTGTTGCCAAAACTAGTACAGCCACTTTAAGTAGAAGCAAACACACCCCACATAGAAAGCATAAAGTAATCATATCATGAAGATTAAGGAGTGTGTGTGCTGCACTTCATGCAATCAATAAGTAAGCACTTGGCCATCTGCACTTCATGCAATCAATTAGTAAGCAGTTGGCCACCAGCTATATGGCAGGTAGTGTTAACACCAGAGGTTAAGGGGATACTAGAATGGTAGATTGTGATGCAACTATGAAGTTTGTGACAACAATGTCCACAAAAGAGATAACAATAAAACTCAATCCGCGGTGGCTAGACAGCCCTCGGGTATTTCGGCTTAAGATCTTCTCACATAGATCGAGAAAACCCCCGAACCCCTGCCCCACCCATACACAGCGGCACCGCAGCTCCGTGAGATGAGCTGGCAACAGACATATGCTTTGGATGTGGGGCAGACGAGGGAGTTTTTTTCCCCCCTTGGTCACTGCGGCCGAAGCCACAAATAAAGAGTGAGTCCCTTGGGACTCGAACTCTGACCACCCCAAGGGGGAGGTACTGAGCCTGCACTAACCACTTGGTCAGCCAGGCCGTTCCCAAAAGAGATAACAATAGGTAGCAGAAGATGATGTAAATACATGCCAGGGAACATAACATGATTATTTGAAGGCAAAGAGCTACATGTCAGCAGCTTTGAGAAGTTACACTATGATAATAAAGAACAGCTCTTGAGTGGGCAGCATAGGAGGCCCTAAGCCTTGCTGCATTGCATGTATGTGGCAGGGGAATATACAAACAAGATAGAAAGGGAAACATAGCAAGAGTCATCCATCTTCTGGTCCCCCTTGGTTGCATATTGAAGTAATGTTGAGGCGAACTGAGTCCAGTTACAATTTATGTTCATCTTTAAGCTCCGTAGTTATGCACAGAACAAGTGTTAAATTTCGTGGAAGGATCAAATTTCCACAGTTATGTAGCTTTGAGCAGACCTAAATACTTCTATCAAGGAAATCTCTATAGAGCAAGCAAAAATATTACATCTTATAGCAAATTTGCAGCAATACATGGAGCAATAAATGAAATGCATTAGCTCATATACTGCCAATATGGAACATATAAATTGATGCATGCTCATGAACCAGCAAAAACATGTCAAGAAACAAATAGAAGACAGTGACATACCACGCCACTTGCTCACAATCGATGAGGCAGAAATATTGAAAAAGGTTGTTTTGCACTCGGTAGCCACAGCTTTGGCTAGCATTGTCTGAAATGAAATATGCTGAGGTTATAACAGTTGCACTCGAAGATGATCGGCAATTGGCAGAGCCTGGATATAGCATCACAGCTAACAGCCATACATACTGGCAGAAATATGCAAGATATGAGGAAACAAAGCAAAACAAACCAGTATTGACTATTGACGTTAACAAGTGACATTATCCTTTTTTTTAATGATTCAGTATAACTAAAGACAAAAGAAATACTGAGAAAAGAAACAGATCAACTGCAACTTTTTCAGGTAACAATTCCACGTGTTACGGAGCTTGATCCTTAGACACCAAAATAGAGCAGCCAATTCTCTATTATCTTTGATAGTTACATGCTTAGCCAAATTGCAGTAGAGAGTAGAACATTCCAAAGAACTGTTCTTTTCTCGAATAGAGTACAGCTGCAAATCATTTCATTAAAGAAAGAGTAAAAAGTACACTCCAATGAAATGCTGTAACTTGGTAATTCAATTATACCATGCCAGATATTTAGATTATTTGCTCAACTACTGAAGTTCCATGATGAAAAGTCAAAGTATTATTTGTTTTAAATAGGGGGAATTAGCTTGAGAGCAACATGGACCTGCAAAAGTATCACTTAGCAAAATATCGCTAAATATAGCTGGCCTAGCAAAATATAAATATACATAAAGAACTAAAAACAACAGGAATATCATATATGGTTCAAAAACGAGACAAAAAATGCAAATGATTTTTGGAAGTGCAAACCTTTCCTGTTCCAGGTGGACCAAATAGTAATATGCCTTTCCAAGGTGATAATAGACCAGTGAAGTATCTGGGATTGAAACACAAGTTAGAACACAAGAAGCAAGTAATTAGTAAGCAGAGACAAAAATATCCAACTGGACAACGCATGATTGAAAAAAGTTGAGTGTACAAAAGAAATCCTTAAGACCTTGACTAATACAAATTTTACATCTGTCCTTTAGACCTTCATTGCAATAAAGACTCCTTTCAAAATCAGTCAGAGTGAATATTACTGTTGGATGGTTAAAACAGGTACTCTATAAAATATGAATGTAGCTTCCAGTAATAAAAATGTTGAAGTAGGTAAATAACTAACCAATTACCTAACTGCAAAACAATGGTTGATAGAGTTCACCTTTTAAATCAATAGAAATGGAAGCCAATGTAAAATATGAACGTAGCTTCCAGTAATAAAAATGTTGAAGTAGGTAAATAACTAACCAATTACCTAACTGCAAAACAATGGTTGATAGAGTTCACCTTTTAAATCAATGGAAATGGAAGCCAATGTGAAAAGAATATGCTATCCATATCACAAATTGATTAAACAAACCTTGTACGTCATCCATATCATTAACGTATACAGATACAAATAACATGTAAAGAATATGCTAAGAAAGTATCGATAAACATGTGTTTTCTTTAACTTTGCTGCTAAAGTTATTAAAACAATGTTCAAATGAAAAAAACATCTAATTGGTACTGCAAGATGTATAAGTCTTTAATTTTATTAAAGATTTTCTAGGTTGTACACATATAACATACAATATATTTCACTGAGAAGTAAGCCTACTTGGGATATTTAATGGGCATGACAACTGCTTCTTTGAGAAGACGTTTTGCATTCTCCAGACCTTTTATGCTTTCCCATTTAACATCTGGACTCCCACGAATTATATCCCTGTAGGAATTGGACAAGGAAGCTATAGTAACAACAGTCCAAAATAAATTACAGTGCCGCATGAGTGATGTCATGCACAGATTTTTGAAAGATTTACCTCAACAATGTCTCAGCTAAGTTGCGCGTTTCTGCAGATTCAAATGAAGGAAGTAGAGGTTTCTGCCTTCAACCACCATAACCTGTTACCACAGGTCCATAAAAGGGAAAATACATTTGCATGGCAAGTGAAATACATGGTCTTGGAAGGTTATGTTTCCCAAAGAAAATAATACAGCAATGCTTAAAAATTAACAATTGGATCCAGATTTTTTTCGAGAACGTGCTTGAGCACGTATATTTGAAGTCCAAAATCAGGCACAAGATTCCATCAGGGCCACCAAGCATCCAAAATTGTATAATTTTCATCATGTAAGCCACACGGAGCATACTGGTCAACATGCAGAGCATAAAAGCCTAGAAGCATCTCTATCTTAAACTCTTACTAGAAACCTGCTATTTCTGGAAATCAGTCAATGGAGGTAGAATGAAGGCTTTCAGCCCCATCTTAGCTGACATCGAAATCAAACAGACACTAACTAGTTACTAATTGCTGAACAGAGAAACAGATGGAATTAGCTAACTTTAGAGCGTCATTTAAGTGGTTCAGATAAAAAATTGTGTAGTCAAACTCTTTCTGATGTATGTACACCCAAGTAAGCAGAGCAGCAGGTCTTACGGTGGACCATCCTCTATAGCCCCATTGCGTATCTCCACCTTCCTCTCCTGCGAACCAAAACTAGGGGAAGCAAATAATTACAGGATTCTCCAAGACGGCAAACCAAAACCATCACCAACCAATGCAGCAGGTCAGCAATAGCTCAGCAACGTATCCGAAGACACGAGGCACAGATGACCGAACAACGCACCATCCGCTCGAACTGCTCGAAGACGGCGAGGTCCGCGCCGCCGTTGGCGCGGGCGGCGGCTGGCCGTATGGTCGGATCCGCGCGGCGTTATTGGGCCCTCGTCGCGGTCGTCGCCATCATCGCCGGATGCCGAGGCGCGTCTCGTAGTAGACCACGAAATCCTGCGGGGGGGAGACCAACCCGATCGCGCCACGAGATCTCAGGCACATGCTGGGGGAAGGAGCGGTACTGACACGAGGGGGAGGAGTAAAGGGAGAGCGCACGCAGCGGTCAGGTCGGCCAGTCAGTCACCTCGAAGGTCCAGCCGGTGAGGGAAGGCTCGCCGTCGGCCATCGAGACGCGCGCGCAACGCGTGGGGAAAGGGTGGTGCGGTGCTGCTTCGCCGCCGCGCGCACCCACGCACGCACGCACGCGCGACGCGAGCTCTCCGGAAGCAGCAGCTGGGTGGAGGCGCCGCTTACGGTGGGGCTGACGGAAGAATAAACAACAGACAAGCGGCCGGGACAGCGAGGCGTCGATGGAATCTGCGTTGCCGCGCTGGTCTTTCCCCGGGCGCACGGGAGGACGGGGGGACGGGGCTCGGTTTCTCTGTGAACCCCGCCGCTCTCACTGACAGTGGGCGGCCATAGCGCGCATTCGCAGCTCTGGCCCATCTGCCAGTGGGAATTTGTGCGAGAGCCGTAGGTTTGTAGGACGGCCCGCTTTTTACCGCGGACTCGCTGACTGCAGATTTCCGTGTGCGTTGTCAACGTGGCGTCCGTTCGGGTCTGACCCGACGGCGGCTCAGCAACAGTGCTTCTGTTTAGATACGATTAAAGTCGTGTACTGAACGTGGAAATTTTTTCATGTTCCTATAGTTTTCTATAAAACTGAGTTGATTTCTGTAAAGTTCTTATGCAATTACCGTAAAATTCTTGCGTTCCACACAAATTCTAAAATTCGACTATAGCTTTGGCTCGTCGAGACAATTCCGTCAAACGGTTCGCGATACATACGAATTTTTTGCCACCGCTTTCACACGATTGAACTAGAAACAACGATATAGGCCTTGTTTAGATCGATGTCAGGAATCAGTATTTGACACTGTAGCACTTTCGTTTGTATTTGATAATTATTGTCCAATCATGGTCTAACTAGGTTCAAAAGATTCGTCTCGTAATTTATAATCAAACTGTGTAATTAGTTATTTTTTATCTACATTTAATACTCCATGCATGTGTCTAAAGATTTGATGTGATGGAGAGAGAGTGAAAAAACTTAGAATCTAAACAAGGCCATAATATCACAGAGAAATATATGAGCATGTTTGGTTCGTGACCACAACGCCCCAGATTAGTTATGTTTTTTTTAGTTATTTGGTTCACTGCCATGATTACAATGTGCTACACTTCTTAGCACCATGTCCCACGTGTCATAAAACTTATTTTCTTGTCAAACTTTATCACAAGTGTAACTTTAATTTTACTCACTAATTTTTCTGTTGCAGTCATAGTTTGTCGAAGATTTGGCAGGATAAATTATGGCACCAACCAAACAGACCCTATAATTCGTGCTACCGCGCCACGCGTCACAAAACTCACATCAAAACAGGGCCAGTAAAGACGGCACCTAGGCCATCCATGAGTAGACAACGGAATTGATGCAGGAGCCAAACCTATCAAACATATTTGATTGGGAGGGTTCAGGGCCTCCAGAATAGAGATCGACCCTATATTGGGCTTCTGTATCATGAATAGTGACACTGTGATAGTGATCACACTAACACAGATATATCGACGGTCGACTTGTCCACGAACAATCGATAAGAGGTAAAGGCGTCCATGACAAGAGTCGTCACCTGCCGTTTGTACTGTCATTTCTACAGTAGCGCAGAATAGAGAATACTCCTCTTGAGTACTTCAAGACAATTTCCTGTTTTGATATCGAGAGAGAGAGAGAGAGAGGTGTCTTTTCTCTTTTGTGATTCTAGAAGTTTAAAATTGTACTTTTTTGTGAGGCAAATCCTTACCATCTTTGGTGAGGCATCAAGGCTGAAAACAAACTTGGCTAAGTGTTCGATCACGCCAGTCTACGGTGGGGAAGAGGCACTGGATGACATAGTCAATATCCTTGGATGCCAGGAGCAACCTTTCCCTCTCAAATACCTCGGCTTGCCACTCAGTACCAAGCCGATCCCCAAAGCCCATTTCCAAGAGATCGTCGAAGCCGTCGCTCGGAAGCTGCCTCCATGTCACGGCTCGCTCATGGCCAAAAGTGGTCGCCTGGTCTGGGTTAAGTCAGTGCTTCGAGCAGTCCCAATTTATGCAATGATGGCCGAAGACCTCCCAACTTGGGCGCGCAAAGAAATAGATGCCATCTGCAGGAAGTTTTTCTAGGCTGGATCCGACGCATCGTTGCAAGGCAAATGTATGGTGGCTTGGCCAACAGTCTGTAATGCTGGGAGGACTCGGGATCAGCGATCTAAAACTAGCCGGGTGGTTTGGTGTGAGAGAAAAATACTGTTCCAGCTTATAATCCACGATCGTATACGAACAAACGAACATGCTGCAGATGGCTGTGGTTGCAGAGGACAGACTCTGATCGAGCATGGAGTCAATTGCCGATTAAGACCGCACCACAGGTTCAGGCGTTCTTCAGGGCATCAACCTTCATGAGGATCGGTGATGGTCGCACTGCTCTTTTCTGGGAAGACTGCTGGCTGCATGGAGCCTCAATCAAGGACAGGGCACCGTGTCTCTACCAGTTAGTATCCAGGCGCATTCGTGCAACTCAAACAGTCAGACAAGCATTGGCACAAAGGCAGTGGGTTCGGTCCATCACGGGTGGGCCGTCAGCAGCGGCCATCGCAGAATATTTAGCAAAGGTTTTAAATCTCCGGCTATAGCCTCCGTTATCTCCGGCTATAGCTGTTTGAGAAGGATTTAGCTGAGATTTTTCATATACAAGTTAGCCCTTAGCTGTCGCTATAGCCGGCTATAGCTCGTTTTGGGACATAGATAGTTAAATGGCTTAGTCAGCTATTTAAAACATTAATATTTAGAGCTTTGGGAAGCCACGGAGAACATCCAATTTAATGATCAGCAAGATAAGCTCATCTGGAGATGGACTACAGATGGATCATACTCCACACAATCCGCGTACAAGATGTTGCATGCAGGTCCGTCAAGTTCCGTGGTCACCATCTCATCAGGAAGACTTGGGCGCCACTGAAGGTGAAAATCTTCCTTTGGCTGGCCCTGCGGCGGCGCCACTGGACCGAGACAGGCGGCTGAGGAGAGAGTTATGCTACCTGTGTGATCAGGAGCAGGAATTCATTGACCATATCATTGCCTCATGCTCTTACACCCGCGAGGTATGGCACTGCATCCTTCAAGTCCAAGGCCGCCAATTCCCACAGCCTGCGTCGACAACTCTCAGCTGGTGGAAGCGCCTTCGAGCCTATTGCAGCGAGCTGCAGCGGTCCGGCATGGACTCATTGTTCGCCCTCGTTTCCTGGCACATCTGGAAGGAACGCAATGCTACATGCTTCCGGGGATCATCCTCCCCAGTCAGCGAGCTCTTACAGTTCATCAAGGAAGAGGGGGACAGATGGATTTAGGCTGGCGCCAACGGGCTAGGAAGCCTGGTAGGGCGGTAGTTGTTCCTGAGCTTTGAGGCTCTCTCTGTTGTTTTGTTTAATCATGTAGTCCATTTAAGGTCGGAGCGGCACAGGTCGCAAACTCTTGTATTATAAACCTGCTTCCTTCTAATACAATGATACGCACCCTCGTGCATATTCGAGAAAAAAAAAGATCGGCTTGTTGGCTGTGACATCTGACCGTGCCGCCTTGATTAATTACTTCAACTATTATAAGTGATCATAATTCCCTATTGGGTAAAGTACACTTTACAACCCTGAACTTGCGCCAAAGTATGATTTTCAACCTTCAACTATGAAAAAAACTATCAAAACGGACAACTTTGGTCCTCGGCGGTTTCAAAAGCGGTTTTTCTATTTTGATCAAAACTACAAAGTTGTAGATCTCATTGAGGTCTTTCAATTTTATAGTTTTGAAAATTATCTTCATCCGACATCTGACCGTGCGCCTGAGACTGAAAATCTTTGATTTTTAATAAATTGTAGACCTCAATGAGATCTATTTATAGTTTTGATTTTTCATTTGAGAACGTGATCATAATTCCCTATTTGATAAAGAGAAGCGATGTCTTTCGTGATTCTAAAAGTTCAATCATACCTTTTTTACATCTATTTTAACATTAATGTCCCATATGTCCCACGTTAGGAGAGTGTTTGGATCCACCTGTTAATAGTTATTAATAGATTTTTTTTAGGGAAAATAGCTGCTAATAGATGGTTGGATAATGGGTTGAAGGTACATTAAAACTATTAGCAACTATAAATCTGCTAATAAAACTAATAGTTAGTAACCCTGCAGCTAATAATTAACAGGTTATTAGCAGGTCTGTTGGGGATCTATTATTACTAATTTTAACTACTAATTTTTAGTGTTAATGGCAAACAGGGCCTTAGTTTAGATCGGCTTTTGGTCGTGACATCTGACTACGCTGCCTTGATTAATTAGACCTTGACCACAGAGGTGGATCTAGCACTGAGGTGTGCTGAGCTTGAACTAGCTCCGCTACTGCTACTGCTACTTGGTAGCCATGGAAGGAGGGGCAATATCCTGTTTGTTTTAAGACCTGTCCAGCCATTGCCTAGCCAGCCAACAAAACTTGCCCCGGGAGGTCTGCCTGGCCATGCAGCTTTTCTATGCCACCATCAAAACAAGCCGGGGCAAGTTTTTTGTTTGGAGATCGAATCGATCCGGAATGGAATGGTGCCGCATGGAAAGAAATCGGATCATCCGGTGGTTTTCAGAGGAACGAACTCGTCGGAGATAGCGTTTTCGTTGGACGAGGCAGAATGGCCTGGAGACGGACGACTTCATTCCATGACGCAATCCAAACGCTGCCGCTAGTTTCGGACTTTGGATCAGATCATTCCGCGTCGACTCGTTCGCCAAATCAAATACGCCGAATGTATTGGTTGTTTCAACATAAAAACACAACCCACGAAACCACGATACTCCACCTGTTCGGTTGGCTGGTTCGTTTCGTTGCTGGTTCGTGAAAAAGTATTGCTGACTAATTTATGTGAGAGAAAAATACTGTTCCGGCTAAAAATTTACAATCGTTTACGACAGGCCACAGCCAAACGAACAAGCTCTAATTATTTGTTCGCAAAAATAAATACTCTAGATTATTATCCAGTGTATAACTGGAGGATAATATTTTTCGTATTCCACCTGATTATGACTAAAAAATGTATTATG